CCTGCTGAGAAGCCTGATAATTTCCAGTCTTCTTTCAAAGAGCTGTTTGAAGGTGAATTGCCCCTTTAAAAGCAGCTAACCCTAACTGGCCAGCTGGTAACCTTATTCTGTATTTCATAACATGGCACATTAGGTATGCTCTTTAAGAGCAGTGGCTCATGCAGGTGTCTGTAGCCTCATCTCAGTGTGCCAGTGGATCGAAACTTAATCAGGGCTCTTTGTGCGCTCATTCATATTCCCTGCCAGAGATTCACGCCCAGGTCACTCCTCCTTGCAGTGTCTCTTTGAATAAACACATGCTGACGCTGAGTCTTAGACCTCTGAGTAATCAAACATTCTGCCATGTTTGGCTCTGGAAATAACTGAGGCCTGGGCTGGAGTGTCAGCTACTGTTAATCAACATGAACGCCTGAAGAGCACCGCATCCTCTGCAGTGCTGCCATCAGGAACTGCTTCATGTAGCTCAATGCACAAATGCATGCATTGTTCTACTCTTTAGTAATTTTACTTTAAATATACTGCTTTACTCACATTGCAATGCAGTAGATTTCCTTTGCACAAAAACAATACATTTCAGGTTTATTTGGAACAAATAGAAGAACTGGGTCATTAGCAGGAGCAGCTCATGTGACAAAGGAGACAACTGACACTTAGGGGAACTCGAATACTGTATTGAACTCTTCAAACAAACAGACTGACCGGTAATCTCTGGAAAATTTGCTGCACAGAGCCAGCGACGGTGACAATGTAGCACAAAAAAAATGGATTTGTAGCGAAAGAAGCTTCTGCAGCTTTTCTCTTACTGTAAATTAGATGTAAGAGACCAGTCTGATGGAGGAAGGACAAAAACAGAAATAAAGTCACAATTTTAAGATGAAACCCAGCATTGACTGTAGCTGTTGACAACAAAATCTGGATCAGTGTGATTGTGAAAAAAATTGTCAATTTGCTGTTTCATAGCAGCAAACGTGGCTTTTACAAGATGATGCTTAATTTTGATTTATTTTAAGTCTTAGTCTTTTAATAAAAATCCTTCGTCTAGTTTTAGCCAACTGACACTGTACTCTCTTGTCCACAACAGCACTAACACTGAGTGTTAAACTATCATAAATGTCATGTAATGCCTGCGTTTTCCTAGTTGTCTCTGCTGTCTTTTGTCATTTGTCTAAATTTCAGTGCATTGTAGATTAATTTAGTTCATAAAATGTAATACAGTGTAGCAGGTTAGGTGGCTAAATCGTTTGACCAAATTTTAGGCAGCAGAGGAAACTTCCCAACTTTTTACTTACCAAGAGCTACTGTTTGTGACTGTGAGGCTGAATTATATGGCGAAAGATGGTATGTAAATCATCTATATGCTGATGACACCTGAATTTACTTCTGTGCCTCCCTCCTTTACCCCCTCCTTTCTTTCTCCAGAAAGTGCAAATTGTTATAACTGTTCTGGACTATGACAAGATCGGCAAGAACGATGCCATCGGCAAAGTCTTTGTGGGCCTCAATAGCTCAGGGACGGAGCTGCGCCACTGGTCCGACATGCTGGCCAACCCCAGGAGACCCATCGCTCAGTGGCACGTGCTGAAGCCTGAGGAGGAGGTGGACGCTCAGCTCTCCACCAAGAAATAGACAGGGCCCTTTCAGCACCTGCCTTGTAGTACTCTTTAGCCAGTATGTGTAAATACCTCAGTGATATATGGGTCCATCCACATCACCCCCCCCCCCCCCCCCCTCCTTCTCCTCCCCCCTCCCAGCTTTACCGCTCCTAATTTGACACACAATTGTTCAAACCTCTGCAGCATTTCACCATCAGGTTTCTTGCTTTCTCTCTTTTTCCCCTCTGATCCAGCATTTTTTCTTTTATGTCTCCAGGCCCTTAACTGCCCCAACCAAATGCCCCCTTCTTTTAAGCAATATGATCTGTATAGTTAGCGCATGACTGAAAGAATTTATTGTACCACAGTTGTATATATAAGTATGCAGACAAAAATGATTTCTAGTTTATGTGTTTGTATGTTGTTACCCGTTTCCTAATCTGTGTATATCTTGATGTTTTTAATAAGATGTTCTATTTTAAATTATGTAAATGCAAATATAGAGGAAAGCCAATATTATATATCCCAGGATTTAAAAATTCTACCTTATTACCTTATTACATTACAGAAAAAAAATGAATTCCAACCTGCAAGATGCTAGTGGAAATACTGTATATTCACATTGTAAAGGACAATGTCTGGTTTTAAGTTCAGCAAAGGATCATCACAGAAAAGACCAACACATGAGTATATACACACAAAAACTCCAAATTATAAGGCCATTAACTACTATGGTTCCGTGGGGAAAATTATGCTGCTGGAAATTATAGAAGCACATGATTCCTTACAACTTCTTATCCTTTTTTTCTCAGAGGACCTATATGTTTAGCTTGATTCACACTGTTCAAAAACAGTAGTCAGTACAAACAGGTTAGCATTTCATTTCTCCATATATGCCAGTTTTTTGTCTAAATGTAATAGGTCCTCATCTCTTCTACCGGCTTGTGTTTTTCTCCAAACATGAAAAATATTGCCTCCGAAAAGATTCATTTCTTAACCCCTCACCAACAGACTCGACGTGAAACAAAGCACCAAGCTGTAGCCATTGTGTCCTTAAGCTCGTTTAACAGTATGTTTGTTACCTGCTTATTTGAACAGCCTCGTCGTTGTTGGTAGTTTATCCCAGTTAGGACGGAGTCCAATCTTTGAGAGGGAGTTAAAAAATGAGTTGCGACTCTAGTTTTAAGAGGACTATTTTTAGAGCGATTCAACGTCTAGACTATTTTTAGTAAATTGCATGATTTTTTTAACAACCTTTACTAAAGGCTGGGCTGGGGGGGGGATCTGCTGACACCAGGGGAAGCTCTTGTTAAGATCCCCTTGCCTTCAATAAGAGGAGAGGGAAATAATAATGTTTTAACTTTGAGTCAATGTAATATTGACAGAGGTGAAGCAAGCGTCTAAACACTGCCATTTTCAGGGAGTTGACTTGTGTCCTCATGCACACTCCCTCTTGTTAGTGGTTGTAGTTCTGGTTTATTGGGAACAATGTCTTTGGCTGCACTGGTGCCCTGAATCGCAGTCTTTGCTTTGTGTTGCCTTCTCACAGTGACAATAGAACTAGCCATGTTTTCCTGCCAGTTGTAACTTTTATGTGGCTGCTGTTTTGCACTGAATGTCTTTGAACTAGCTTGTTGACTTCTCTAGAAACCATTTTTGGATGATTGTTGGCTGGCATTGTTTCAGGACACCTGCAGGGAGAGCCAGAAATCCGCCTGCTTGTCAGCTTAATTAAAAAGAAGAAAGCTATGATGACACATCACGTTTCAGCCAACAGCAGTTACATCGGTTTTGTTTTCTTGTTGGCACAGGACTACACCAAGGAACGCGAAATAACCGTAAAAGTTAATGGTCTGCATAGGCAGATTTGTCCATCATGTCCTTTACTACGGGTCCGATTAGGAAGTTTTAATCCATGAAAACCATGAAGCCTCTTATCTTGGAGGACTTTCTTGCATATACTAGCTTCAGGAGGACTTTCTAAATGTTTTCAATGTTATTGTGTAGTTGATAGCACTATTATGAAAAAGCTACTTGTCATTCCATAGGAGTCTTTGAGGACTGCTTTGTGTATCACTGTGACTGCCGTGTGTACTTAGAGATGTAGACTTATCAGTAAGTAGCGAAACCAGTTTGTTCTGTAGTGATGTCGTAGCATTTAATGCCATTTTCCCTTCTACATGCGGAGAGAGAGAGAGAGAGTGTGGCGTCGCCTGATTGCACACAGGAAAAAAGGCGGAAAGACATTTTATCTGGATGAGAGCAGGTTGCTTCACACAGCATTTTGTTGAGCACTGTGCAATACTTGTATGTTCATCCCATAGTGTTAACGTGGGTGGCGTCGCCCGAGAAAAACGATTCTAACCCTAAAGGATGATTCCAATCCAGAGAGATGTTTCTCCTTTCCGGTGAAATGGTTAGGACACAGCACACGTAGATTCAGCTTGACACCTGTTGACCTCTGTTTAGGGTTCCTTCCCTTTTCGCAGGTTTGTTTTCTCTTTCTTGCACACAGTTCCAGCATCAGATGTTTCAGGGAGTATTAGTTAGCTACCAGACCAGATTACACATTTAAATGTTCCCTTGCCTTGCCCCTTGCCAAAATGCCATGTATATATTTACATAATCGTGTCAAAAATGTATATGTAGAATATATATAAAGTGACATGAACAAGATAATTTAGCCACAAATCCCATTCTATCTATCATGCATATACTGTATCTCATCATCCTTACTTCATATTCATTATGGATTTTTTTTTAATTTTTATTAACTGACCTGTTGATTCACAACTCCTTTTATATTGAGATCAAAACTCTGAATGTACAGTATGAACTGTGTTGGTGTAGATTAACCGTGAGTTTAGATATACTTTGCACTTTTTATTGTTAAAAACATAGTCCCTTTGTTTATATTTTTTCAACTGTTATGGATTTGTTTCATAACCCACTGGGGTAAAACCTCCCTTGTCTGATAGCATTCCAAGACCACCGAAATATGCTTTAGTACAGCTGCAATCCCAGTCCTTCTCCAACTGAGGGATGCTTTTTTTGACGTGTTGATTCATGAATTCCAGTACAGCTTCAGTTTTAAATGAAATATGAATTAGAGTACATGGTAAGCTCTGTAAAACTGGCCTGAGCAATTCAATATGCATACAAACATTGTACTATATTATGATCAAAGCTAAAAGAAAATTAAACAGAAATAATATGTAGAAATGTATCAGTAATGGGCAGCATTGCAGGACCCATCAGACAGTGAGTCGTGTTTAAAAAAAAAAAGGAAAACCACAAAGTAAAAGCCATTACCTGCACTGCAACACAATGCTCCTCTTATAACGATTTCCTACCAAAGTATGCATGTATAATCAAATTCCTCCTTGTAAAATACCTTATCATGTTCTCTGTGTGACAAAGAACTCATGATTCTCCCAGTGACACCGACAAAAAGCCACAATGACCTTTCCAAAACAAAGCTGTGTAAAGTATTAGAATCTGATGCTGTAGAAAGATCCTAGTTGCCTTTGTGTATATCAACTGCCTGCTTGAGTATTTTGTGTGTGGAACTTTTCTCTGTAATCTTGTAGAACTGTTTGGGGTGTTTTTTCCTGCCATATCGCTCGCGGTGACGGCGAACAGCTGACAGTTATATTTGCTGTGTATACCTTCATTTTTGACGAGGTGTTTTACAGTTTTGTTTCACTTTGTGTAGTGATTCACTCTGTGGAGTTTTCTGACTGTTGTTATATAACTTCATATACACAAATGATGAATAAAAATGTTTTATTTCCTGTTGATACAGAAGCTTGTGTTATATTCTCATTTATGTGGCACGAAGCAGTTTCATCAAGGCATCTGTTAGACTCACATAAGATGCTGTCTCTGTCTCTAGTAGTAGTTTTAATAAGAAAAACAACCTGTTAAACTTTTAGCATTGATTAGCACAGGGGGCATCACCCACTGCTCCTGCACAAACTCTTGTCACATCAAAAGAAAAGTGACTGCATGCACGGCTTGCATGACTAATTCCAAGTTTAATGATGATGTTTGCTTGGAAACGCTTTGAACAAGCTTTGAATCATCCACAACAGCCTGTTACAAATGTCGCTACTGCCACCTAATGGACATAAAGGGGAATACCACAGTGGATGAGCACAACAATGAAAAGTCCAATTATATTTTCTCTTCTACCCTGGACACAGATCAATTTCTATTAGTAAATATTCACTGGTCTGCACTAGAGTCATAGAACGAGGACAGTTCGCTTTCCATCAGATGTATGATGTAGCATCGATGTGAAGTGCAGCTATTTGTGGATTCGAAGAAGAGAGCACCCTGGGGATGTAAAGAGTTTACTTTCACTAAATCTACTACATTTTATTTGTCATTTTTCTTCATTTATTACATTAGTAATACGAAGCAGGGCAAATAGAAATAGAAAAGGGAACACATTACTCCACCCGTAAGTAGATGGTCTATTACTGTTGTTTCTCTGGTTTACATTGAAATAATCAAAGCATGTTGTGTCAAGCTCATTTGGTGCTCATGGATAATAAAGTACGTAATGTATGGCCTCATAAAACTGTGGTCTCCGTGCTAGTGGTTAATCATAGACTGAAAAATGAAAATTATTAAGTAGACTTGTTTCATTATTTGACAGTTTTATTATGGTAATGCCGCGCAGGAAGTGGATTATCAAAATAATGGCTACTTGAATACAACTATACAGTACGTTTCTCACTTGATAAAACTTCCACACCGTGTTATGAAAGGGGCAGAAAATGTATAATAACAGCAACATATTAATCATTAGGTATATTTTATTTGCCGGGTGTCGTGTTTAAAAAATCGAGGCATGGTTTTCCTAAAACAATCCTATTATTTTCAAAAATCGATGACCGGATGTGTTTATTTTACATAGGTAGCTTGACAACCTCGCATGACAGCTCGTACCTCCGTCACACAGAGTTGCTGCAAATTGTGTTCCCGAGCAGCAGCTGTGCAGTTGGTTAGACGGACTGAAAATGTTGTCCTACATCATTGGTGTAAGTATGCCTTCATGAGAAGTAGCCAGACTTATTTTACGTTACACTTTTAGCCAGTTCCTTCGCGTTATCTTAGGCTAACACTAGCTAATGTAGTTTTCCTAACTACATTCTGTTGGGAGTTTGGGGCAGGCCTGCCCACAGGAATCTCTGACTCATTTTTCCTCTTACGGATTAAACAAAAATGACTTCAGTGAGACAACGCCCCACAGAGCTCTCAGACAGTGGGTAGCTAATGCTAGCAGCTGGAGGGTCTGAGTCATTGTGCAGCTTTTGACCGTATTTCCACAGCTGATCCGGAGCGGCTTTGACAGCGTCATCAACCTCATCTTCAGACTCTTCTTCTCCAAGAGGAAACCTGCCATCACCTTACAGGACCCAAACATTAAGTATGCACTGCGGCTGATAGACAAACAGGTAGCACTCAGAAAACCATCGCTTTGTCTGTTCTAAACGCAGCAGGTGCGTTCACGCACCGATGTAGCTGTTTTCTCTCTGACCAACTTGTGTCTGTTGTTGTCTGTGCAGATTGTCAGCCATGACACCAGGAGGTTCCGCTTCGCACTACCTTCCCCGGATCACGTCCTCGGCCTCCCTGTCGGTGAGTACGAGCACTCAGTAACATGCCACTCATCAGTCATTCTGAAAATGACTGAGTGCTGTTAGCAGAGGTGAAAAGTAACTAGGTACCTGTACTTAAATACAATATTGAGGTATGTGGACTCTCTGCACCTCATATTTCGACTTCACTATATTTTAGAGCATTTTTACCCCGTTACATTTTACTACATTGCCTTGTTGTCCATCAGTCTGCATCACTAACTCATAAAACAAAGTTAAAAACATGACTTTGAAATTGCGGTAAAATTCATTAACAATCAAAAACTGAAGTCTCTCACTTCCAAACCATTCTGAGCCTTTGCTGCGGCTCTAGACTTTAATCAGGTGCAACCTGATTGACTCCACCTGTGATTAGACAGAGTTGTGTTGCCAAACACCACCACAACAACAACAAAAAGGTGAACCCTCCCATTTCAGAAGCTGGAACCAGAAACGTTTGCAGTTTGTCTGAAAAGCTACTGAATTGATTGGTTTACCTGAACAGTTGCAGATGAATTAACTATCAGGTGACTTATTGTTTCAGCTCTCTATACTATATATGTGGCTTTCAGCATAGATTGAAGGACATAGATAGTATTACATTAAGTTGTTAGTAGTAATCAAGCATACTTGATTCATTAACAATCAAAAACTGAAATCTCTCACTTCCCAACCATTCTGAGTTGAAGGACATAGCTAGTATTACATGAAGTTGTTAGTAGTAATCAAGCATACTTGATATGAAGCTGCTAATATCACATGTAAACCGGGGCACTCGGTTGTTTGTGTGTTCCTTTCCAGGGCAGCATATCTACCTGTCTGCAAAAGTCAATGGGACCCTGGTCGTCCGTCCCTACACACCAGTGTCCTGTGATGATGACAAAGGCTTTGTGGATTTGGTGGTGAAGGTACAGCCTTAAAGAGAGTCATGTCTGCTTATATGTATGATGATTTTATTTTTCTAAACCAGTTTCTCTTAATCGCCTCTCGTGCACAGATTTACTTTAAAGGTGTAAATCCTAAATTCCCTGAGGGGGGGAAGATGAGTCAGTACTTGGAGAGCCTCAGGATCAATGACACTATCGACTTCAGAGGACCCAGTGGGCTTCTTGTTTACAAGGGCAAAGGTGGGCACTGGATCAGTTTTCTGATGGCACAGATCGAGCGCCGGCAGCCTGATATGATGCTGTAACTTTCCTTCCACAGGTGTTTTTGCCATTCAGCCAGATAAAAAGTCTCCAGCTGTGAACAAGTCAGCCAAACACGTGGGCATGATCGCTGGAGGGACGGGTAAGGGGTATTCCCAGTTTTCATCTGCCACAAAATTGTTTAGCCTGACGCATTTAGCCTCATGATCAGTGTGATTAGTGGATGACAGGCTAAATATAAATCATTTTATCATAGCACAGCAAGTGACAATTGTTTTTATTGCTGATGATGTGATTTTTATTGCTGATGTAGTGTTTAGGCTATAAAATGTCAGAAAATACTGCAGAATGTCCTATTCAGGTTTCTCAAGGTCACATCTGTAAATCAAGTCAAAAATCCCAAATATTCTATTTACAATAATAATACACAAGAAAGAAGAACACCTTCATAGTTTAGAAGCTGAAAATGGCACTTTTTATTTAAACTTGAATAATAAATGATTTATCAGAATGTTGGCAGATTATTTTTCTTTTGACTTACTGACTTGATTAGCCAGCTGTTGCAGGTCTGATCATTTTGTCTATAAAATGTCAGAAACCTCTAAAAACATTCCTCCAAGAATTGCACGCTGGCCCAGTTAGTGTTTCACAATGTCTCGTTTTGTGTGAGCACCAGCTCAAAACCCACAGAGATTATACTGTGGATGTGCAACAAAGAACAGTATCACATTCTGAAACTGGCAAACCTGGAAGCACCGTACAATCAGGGAGTAAAATCAATCGTAAAACGTCCAGAGCCCCAGTGTGACGGATGCTAACATTGGCCTCATGTGGATTGTCTTATTGGATTTTGTGAGCAGTCTTGCTGCAAATCTCTGGACCAGCTGAACTTTAGCTACGTTTGTACTGAGCCATGACAGTTTGTGGATTTAAAAAAATGTATATTACAAATGAGCAAAAAAGCAAGATTGAACTGAACTGACTTCCTTCATACTGTCGCACTCAAGGCCCTGAAAACACATTTTACTACCAGTGATTAGACTCTGCATGAACACACCATTTCCCCCTCTGTGTTCTTCTCACTGGTCTGAGGTGGGAGGGTCTCGGTTGGGTTGTTCGTTCACTGTCAATCATTTATGGTCAGACCACACACACACACACACACAGCTCAGCTTTGAGTGTAAACTCTTTATTATTGTTTTAATAAATGATTTTGATACTGGATGTTTAATGTTATAGAACTATTATTATTATTATTATTTATTATTATACTACTAAGACTTGAAGGCAAATTTTCCCAGACTTTTAAAACTTCCCCTAATTGGAACTAAAAGGTCTTTGCCCCTGACCACTAGCACAGAGGATGTCCACGTGCTGTATGTATAATGAATGGCATGTACTTGCTCTGGCAGGAATCACTCCCATGTTGCAGCTGATCACAGCGATAATGAAGGACCCACATGACCGGACAGTGTGTCACCTGCTGTTTGCCAACCAGGTGAGTGTAATCAGTCACGTTTTGTTCACAGTACACGTTTTTATTTGCTTTCTGATGGAACGGGTGGAGCTCAGAGCACAGCAGTTAAGACAAACATTTCATTCCTGATGCATTCAGACTGAGAAAGACATCCTGCTGCGTCCAGAGCTGGAGGAGATCCAGGTGAACAACCCGGACCGCTTCAAGTTGTGGTTCACCCTGGACAGAGCACCTGAGGGTGAGTTCTTCTGTATTTCTATGTATTCATACTCCAAACACACTGGTTTCATTCACTAAGCGTCTGATGGTTGTTTTTGTCATCCTGTAGTTCCCTTCTCATTTATACTTGATATTATTCACATATTTCTATCTGTGTTCATTTCACGATTAACTGTTTGCTCTGCAAATGTCACAACATGGAATAAAATGTCCATCAAAAGTAACAAGAGCCCAAGGTGATGTTTTCAAACTGCCAATTGGTTCAAAACCCCCAAAGTATTCACATTTTAAAAGTAAGAGAACTCACAAAGTTTGAGATTCAAGAAGTTGGAACCAGACTGTGTAAATTGCTGTTAATTAATTAGCTACACATTCTGGCAATACTTGTATGTTTCTGAGAAAAATATGAACTGCAGAGGCACCTGTGTGTGTGTGTGTGTGTGTGTGTGTGTGTGTGTGTTAGGTATGATGACATTTTAAGATGCAACTTTCATTGTGATGGACATTTTTCATGACATTGTCTGGACCAAATGCTTATTTGAGCAAAAATCTGCTAATTAATTGATAATGAAAATAATCATAATTTGTAACTACTGCCACACTCAGTTGTCAGTTTATTAGGTACACCCAGATACAGCTCAGTCTAATCCAATAGTTCTGTAAAAAAAAATCCTCCCTCATTAATGTGATAACATTCAGTTTGTGTTCAGTCTATTGAGATGTTGATCCAACTCTGTGATCATTGTCGACTATTTGAGATGTGTTGATCCAACTCTGTGATCATTGTCGAATCATTATAGTGTCAGGTGTTTCTGTTCTTTTGTCCACCCCATTTTTACCAGTGAGGCTAAATAACAAACACCTGACTGTATAATGCAGCATGAACTCCATCCTCCAGAATGATCATAGTTGAATCTGAATCAGATGAAACATTCATGGAGGATTTATGGCAGGACTGTACCTAATAAACTGGCAACTGAGTGTCGACCGTGGTGGAAGGAGTGATCACATCTTTTAATTAAAGTAGAAATGCCAGTCTTAAAATACTCCACTAGTTATGGTGCTGCATTTAAAATGTTGCTTGGGTAGTAGTATACAAATGACCCTTTCAAAGGATGATTGTTTTGTTAATGCTGGAACTGTGTTGTTGTCAGTACTTTGTATAAGTGGTAATCTGAAGAGTAATTAGTCACAGGAAATTAAAAAAAAAAGAATGCTTCTCTCTGAAATGTTTCTAGTATAAATTAAATACTCAAAGCAGCAAAATCAAAATTGCACTTGAACAGCAATACGTGATTCTGACCAGCAGGTGTCACCAGAGTGTACACTGTTAAAGGTGTTAGTGATGCTGATGAATATAAACCCTCCTGAACTGGGTTGTTGCTGAACTTGTGTTTCAGACTGGGAGTACAGCCAAGGTTTCATCAGCGAGGATATGGTGAGGGAACACCTGCCGCCTCCCAGCGACAACACCCTCATCCTGATGTGTGGACCACCACCGATGATCCAGTTCGCATGCAACCCCAACCTGGACAAGGTCGGCCACTCCAACAGCAACAGGTTCACCTTCTAGGGAATCCAGGTTTGGAGACCTCGGGGCACCTAATCATTATCTCTACCCTGAAAGCATTAAAGCCCTTGTATAGTTGCAGTGGGTATTGCACTATGTTTGCTACAGTATATTTATGCCACAGCACAGACCAGTTCATGGAAGGGGAGGGATGAAGATGGTGAATGTTTGATTGAACAGGATGTTTTTGATGGGACAGAGGGCTAGGTGTTTTCACACTGGTGGATATGATTTCAGGTCTGATGCAGACAAACCTACAGTCCTGCTGTGACCTCACTTTGGTTACAGTAACACATCTTACTGGCTGTTTTGAGTGCCTTAACACTTGCTAGCTTTTTTTATGTACAGTTCAGAATTGTGACTGTGTGCGTTTCCATTATGGGTGTGGAGGCTGTGCTGCAGACTTATCGCTGTCATGCTAAAAGATATGTTGTGGATTTGTTGAACATATGTGATTTGTCGGCAGCTTTGGCTAGTTGTTAAGATATGCAGCCGCTATTGACTTTGGTGCTTTTGTATTGTAACAGGACTCAAATGTACAAATGCTACTAAAGAAGACAAGGAAAATGCTTTTTCTCATTTTTATTACTCGAGATTTAAAAAAAAGCATTGAACAAAACAATTGGTATAACAAGAGAAAACACACTGGGCTAATTTGGCATTTATTAAGAAAACTGAGTGGTTTAGCATCAAGACAGGCAACAGCTGGCCTGTTCAGGAACACACCACCTGGAACCTTAAAGTGCACCGACAGCTTTACGAGCCATCAGTGCACTTTGGAGGTCCTGAGGGGGGGGCCGTGTTTGAGCAGAGCTAGGCCGTTTCCAGAGAGTGGCATTCATCACCTAATTTTCAGTGAAAAAGCAAAGGAGCATGTTTCTCAAAATGTAACGTCAACCTTGGTTTCAGCAGCGTGTGTAGTAGTCTCTAGCCAGTTCAGGTTCTGGGATTTGTCTCAACCCCAGTACTATACAGGTGAATGGAATATTGTGCAAGTGTGAAGGCTACAGCAGTGCATCTGTGCAGAAAGTGTCCCTATTACACTGCATGTTGCTGTGCACGGTTTTCATTGGAACTACTTTCTATTGAACAGATGGTCCCTATAAAAACTTGACAGTATGTTTATCATTCAAGTACCTGTGATGCTGGTTCTGGACACACACACACTGCTGCTGTTTCTTCCAGGTTAATAAGCCTGGGGTGTTTGTTTTGTGGTTTCTGTGCTAAGAGTGCACACAGACTAAAAAAAGGTTCATGTACTCACCATAAATTCAGAATTTGGTTTAGCTCTGTGCTGTAGACCTCCATTGTTCAAAAACCTAACACGCCACTGAGCTGTTTGTTCCTCATAAAATACACGGTGCACGTCGCACTCATTTCAAACAGCCAGCTGTCACTTTTTAGTCTCCACTAGCTTCTCATGTTGTGTAGTGCAAGAAGGGAGTGGTCGTAGCCTTCGTAACCATCTGAAATAAGATGTGCATCATCATCCAGTGCATCTCGCTGGTTTCTCTTTGGACAACAGTGGAGGTCTACAGTACAGACTGAGCTCGACCAAGTTTAAAGTCAAAGATAGTGCAGTGAGTTTATGAAAAAATGTTTTCAGCATCTGTATGAGATTTATGGAAAATAACCACACAATCAAAGCACACCAGCTTGACCTTGAAGAAACTCAATAGCAGTGTGTGTCCAGAAAGTGTTCCAGGTACCTGAATGGCACGAACATACGGTCAGGTTTTCATATGGAGTATTTGTTCAGTTACTTTCTAGCAGTGCCAGTGAAAACTCTGCACAGCATCACACAGTGTAGTGGAACACTTTCTGCAGCGATGCACTGCTGTGGGGGTCACACACATTCCACTGCCAGCCATAGCACTGGAGTGTAGATGCATCAACACCATACAATCTAAACTCTGCAGCCAGATTCCACTAGAGGTAAATGAGTGTTTACTGTGCACTACCATACGAGTGCAGCTTTGCACATGAAAACCTGAGCACTAGACTTAAAGGATAGCTTTGTTTTGGAGCCTGCTGTCTTTCTCCAAAATATAGGGTACGGTGAGACTACAGCTAGTGCAAATGTCACTGTCACTACCTCCATTGTAAAGATTCTGGGAAATGAGAAGCCACATTAAATGCGTCACTGGTTGGGCTCAGAGCTAAGAATAAACATCAGTCAAATCATTGTTCATTCTTATCTCCGAGTCAGAAGGAAAGCAGATAGATCTGGAAATCTGAGGTCTCCATCACAGCCGACTGTATGGGATGATCATCTGATCATGAGGTCAGCCAACAAGTTGACCTGGATGTATATGACTGTGCAGTTGGCTCTAATGGCTGCCCCAGGTGTCCAAATCTTTTATCTGCTGCCCTTCTGACTTTGGAGATCAGTGTGAGAAATGATCTGACTGACATGTTTGTTCTCTGCTCTCACTGAGGCTAACTGGTTGCTAACAGCGTCTTGTTTCCCTGAATTTCTACAGCAGAGGTAGTGATGGCAAAATTAGCACCAACTATAGTGTCACCATACCCACCATTAGGGGAAACACAGGTTTAAAAAAAGTTTTCCTTTAAAGTATGCTTACCTCACTGAAAAGTGTTTGAATAATAAATGCTGAAAAGTACATTAATGTAATAAGGTCCTACATTTTCACTTCATGCCTTACATTTAGCACAGCTTCAATAAATAGATCTGTTCAAAGCTCTGGTTGTGTTTCTGACTGATGAAAATACTGCACTAGCAGAGGTCTCACATGTTCTGGTTGAAGGATTTGTGTTGGCACAGTCTGTTCATGAGGATCAGCCTCTGGGTCAGATGGAGTTGTCACAGGGTTCTGCTGCATCAACCTCCAGAGGACAGACAACTACCTCCCGACTAAACTGCTCGTCCTTCAGCATGCTCTGAAAACCAAACGGGACCACAGAGACTTGAAGCTAATCCCAAACCAACCTTTCCTCTAGTTTAATTGACTCAGGTTTGTACACTGTTACACCAACATACAGGAACAAACTGAGGTGTTATCACACTCACCGTCAGATTGTTGATTTCCTCTGAAAATGCGCCAATCTGCCTGACAGTCCCTTCAGAGTCGTCCATCTGCCAAAAAGCAAATGAAAGACAACTCATTAGAATGTATTAATGAGTAATCATTTTAAGAACCCCAGTTAAACAAAACAATCTGAACAGAAATGTGTCAGTACCTGCTCCAGGTTATCCCCTAACATCTGGACCCCTCCCTGGAAGCTGCTGCTCTTGGGCATTTCCACATTCATGGGGCAGACGTACTCCTCGCCGTCACCCTGACGTTTCTTCCTCAGAGTGCCAAAGCTGCCAAATGACAGGCGTCGGGGCTGGACAAGTGAAGAGACGTTAGCACTTGGTCAGCATGACTTTGTCAAAGTTATTGCTGTTACTCTTATTTTGCAGTAATTGACAGGTTTTAGCTATTTTTCCAGACAAAATGCCAAACAGCCTCCAACTTCTCCTCTTGTGGTGATTCATTGCATTTGTTTAAGGTTGTCAGATAAAAAAAAATGCAATTTGAAAAGCTTACCTTGGGCTTTAGAAATTATTTTACTACATTCCTGAAGCCTGAGTCACCTACTTGTAGCCTTATTTTAGTATTATGTGGGTTTGTTGGCTGATTTTGTCTGCAGCTTCTCCTAGGGGCCCTGTCTCCTGTAGTGAAGTAGCTGCCAACCTCACTGAGACTTCCTCCCCCACAGATGTTCTATAAACCAAATCATTTGCTTATTCCTAAAAACACATTGTGTAAAATATGTTTACCAACAAAGGGGGCCAGCAGAAAAAGTTAGGGGACCACTGCATTAAAAGGACGATAGTCCTTTTCAATAAAAAGCCAAAATCAGTGATTGTCTTTTCCCACGCAGAGTGTGTAGGTTTCATGTCCTATTGTGTTCACTGTGGGAAAACACCAGAGAAGTGAAACTGGTTTTGGTCCGGTGAGAGAGGGACCAGTCTGTCACCTTGACCCTGGCGGTGGCAGTGAGGACCGTGTAGTCAGGGTTTTCCAGGCAGTCCTGTTTGAGCCGCTGAGCCTTGGAGCCGATGAGCAGGTGGAAGTGTGTGGCCAGGTGGCGTCTCAGCAGGGTTTTGCTGGGAGGAATGTTGAGCAGAAGGGCGAGCACTTCGACGTTGAACCGAGGCTCCAACACCTTCAGAGCACAGAGACGTGAGACAGAGCACGGAGAGGAAATGTCTGATGAGGGGAGTCGAAACAGGGAATCATGGTTTAAATACAACTGAAAGCCAAAGTTTTGGCAGGTTACCGAGGTTGATTTCTGAAGTGAAGACATTACAACCACAGCAAATTGATTTTAAAATGAGCTTCTCTATATGCTAATTTTGTTAGTCCTCTAGTTTGCACCTATCACAGTCTGTTTTCTGACAGGTTCATTAAAGTTTCTCATTCCTCCTGAGTTTCTCTCTTACCATCAGTCCTCCATGAACACCGCTGCCTCTCAGATTTGGGGCATATTCAGCCAAATCCACAGATCTGAGCCACTCCATCACTCTGTGGTTGGTCCACTGGCAGATCTCTGCTGGCTTCACGTTGTTCTGGTTAAAGAGAAGAGAATAAAAGCCAGATTTCTGAAGCACATACCTCCAACAAAGTATAAAACGAGATCAAAGTTGTGTGGGTCATGGTTTTTCATTTGATACCTCATCAGAGGGCCGTCGCCTAAGACAGCTGGGCTCATAGGAGTTGAGGCGGAGGACCTGAATGGCCCTCTTAATGCTGAGATGATGGAGAACACTGCCCACCTTCAGAGACAGCAAGTCCTCCTGGGAAAGGATCAAACATCAGCAAAAAGTTAGCACAAAGTCGTGTTATGGGCTGAATGATTTATTCAGTGGAAATAAAATAAAAAAATACAGTGAATCTCCTGCACAAGCTTCACCAAGGCCTGAACGCTCACCACAGTCATGAAGTGCAGCATGCGCCCATCAACACGAGCCTCATCAAAGTGACTTTTGTACTGTGGGAGGCCGATGTCATCCAGCCATCCTGGAAAAAAACTATACGTTTGTTCTGAAACAAAAACTCACGAATGACCCTAAAGTAATCTTCAAGCTGTGAGATGGTCACACTCACTGGTCACCCAGTTGTGGTCCAGTTTGCCCTGAAGGTCGTCCTCTCCTGAGCCGAGAGCCTGCAGTGCCAGCTGCAGCTTCTTCCTGTGGAGAGGCTGCTTCATGCCCAACTCCTGAACATGTCAACAGAGAACACACTATCATTCACAGGAAATGGCAACAAGTGATGCTGCATCCTGTGCGTGTTCCCTGTGGCTCTGTCCAACCCAAGCTGTGAAAAGGTAAAGGAGTTTTTAAAGTCTAAACTTGAGGTTGTGACATTGATGCAATCTGAATGATTAAAAACAAGTTGGATGTATTTGGTTTGTACCTGTGTTTGCTGTGTTACAACAATACTGAGTTTCAAAATATGCCTTGCAGAGTTTTTGCAGAAACAAAACCCATGTATTGCTGTGACAACCCTCTGGCAGCACTCCTACCTTCTCCAGATCATGCTGCGACGCCCGCACTAACGTTTGTCCTGATTTGATCCAGCTCTGGCCCTGAGCAACATACAGCCCGAGGCCCTGCTCATGCAGCCATGCACAGACATCATCCTTACCCCACCGTGAGAAAGGAACATCATCAGCACTGAACAGGGACAGAGTATTGATCTCAGTAAAGCCATCCGTACTGAATATTTGATATGATTGGTGGATTTTTGTGTTTTACAGTTTCAGACCATATTATTGGCCACTTCTCAAATGTATGATTATTGACACTTACTTGTGTTTCGACTCGTGTGACCAGCCGAGTCGAGGGCCGGCCGTGGCTCTGACTCCGCCTCTTCTGAACTCCACCTCAGCTGCATCGTCGAGATTGAAGGAGGTAGAATGACTCCTCTTCAGCCTGCAGGAGTAAATATTACAGCATAAATCACCAAAGAATCCTCTTGCATTTCTGTAAACACAGCTGACACTGTGTTACCTGCCAAAGAATTTCTTAAAGCCTTTGGACTTCTTTTTGGTCTCTGGTGAAGGCACGACATCGCGGGATTTCTGTGGAGGAACACCAGCCAAGTCCAGGTGATCTGTGCCTTTACGTTCTGTCTCAGCTGTAAAAATAATTACACACACACACACATTCACATGACAGTAAATATATCCTGCACCAACAGCAGACGTCCCACCACCATTCAAACACTAAAGCACATCAGAACTACTACAACTGCATGTGAGCACCCATGCAAAGGATGAGTCAAGTACTACAACGACCATTTAAAGCCCAAACAGCTTCATTGCAGATGGTTCATATTGTCATGGATGATGTAGTGAGCTCAGCAACAGAAACCTCACACCAGAGTAACGTTCAACAAACTCCAGAAACAGACACACACAAAAAAGAAACTATTTAATAATGACAGAGCAGTGATTTTCAACTTCTGTTAAATAAAAACTATTCAGATTAAACATTTCTGATTCTGGTATTCACAATTTACAAGCATGTCAACAGTGACATGGGCCTCAAGTACAAAAGGGTTGGGAATCGCTGATGTAAAAAAAATGGGAACGAACAGTATGACAGTATAATCAGACTGACACAGTGCACTGTCAGTATTCTCTGTATCATCCAGAGCAGCCACAGTGCAAACCAAAAGGCCAGTCTGCTCTACTATACAGGTGCGATCTCCACATATCAGAGCCAGCACAAAAAACATTCATTTAAATTTATTAAATTAAAACCTGACAGTGTGACACATTCCTGAACAACTAAACATGCACCGATCGATTGACGAGATCAGAAATGGCTGTTTTTCACCGTGATCAATTTTGACCGGCCAAGATTTCCAGTTCTGTGCCAACCGGATTTAGAGACACAACAGTCCATGTCACACGTGTAGCAGCACAGACCACAAGCATAACATGTGCAGCATATAGCATCACATGTGCACCTCGAGCGAGGCTTGCACTCCTACACGTGCACCTCGAGCGAGGCTTGCACTCCTTTCTATACCAGGTGCATGTTCACTTTGAAGTGCTTGATGTACAAACGGCGCACAGAGAAGCCTACAGAAACACCTTGGAGAAGGGAAAGAACGGCTCAAAACGCCAACAAACAGTAGGCTACACAACGAGGGAATTGCTGGCTACACAAAGGACAATGCTCAGTGGAAAAGATCAGTTGGTAGCACAGTTTATGATTTTAAGGTCATGCTCACCCAAGTTTGGGGAACTGGCCGTCTGCCTGCCTCCACGCAGCTTGAAGAAACCACGGCCAAAAGAAGAGCGGGCCTTCTTGGTACCAAAAGTTTCATCACTGGTTGTGTTTGCTTTAGTAGGAGAAGACGAGCCAGGTCCTGGTTGATTTCTGGCCTATGAGGAAAAAGAGAGGACAGCAGAACAATTAGGATATGGCCAAAGACACACCATTGCACATCACGATTCAAGCTGCAACAAAAGAAGAAATGTAGTTTCATCATTCAACCACTAGGTGTCAGGCAGTGTCTTTCATATGCCTCATCCCTGAAGCTAATCCACTCTGGTTATTAAATGTAGACTCACTCCTCCAAATTAAAAAGGAAAATGAAGCAATACTTTATACATATGTTCACAGCAAAGAAGGCAGGGCCTTACCTGGTTGGTGCTGCTCGGCTGTGGGACATCTAAGGAGCTGAAAAAACAAAAACAGTTATTCTGTCACTAATAAAAGCGACTTGAAAGCGAGAAGTGGTTTAAAAGCTTTAAATTATCCTCCACATCAAGTCCCACTGAGGTACTGTAACGCTGCTGACGAGCCATGTAATTATAATCTGTACTGATGACGGTTCACAAATCTAAAGGAAAAATAGGTTTGTGTAAAAATGAAAAGAACTCCCAAGATTTATCTGAAAACTGCGAAAAGAAGAGGTTACACAAACCTCTACAAGAGGAGTTAAATTGAGCTAAATTAGATTACTGCTGTCTGCCCCCAGTGTGAGCGTGTACACGCTGCGCTGGGATTAACATATTCCTGACCCTCTGTATAATTTAACTGCAAATTGCTCCTGTCATATTCACACTTGTACACAGAGTCTGGTTTGGTTAGCCCAAATAATGTAGGTGTGAGTGACATTAGACCTTTAGTGAATGCTAAACACACAGCGATGCAAAAACACCATTCATTTCCAGAGTAATTTGTTTGGAAAGTATCACCCAAATTAAACTGTCACCCACCAACTGTCTTCGTGCAAAATCTAGATTTATTACAGCTAATAGTTCGATCATAAACAGTTCAAGACACGATGTATGTGCTTTTAGAAATGTCTAAAACTTTAGAAAGGTCCCAAGCATCAGGTGGATGTTGGAGTTTTACCTTTCTGCTGCCTGTGACTGTTGTTCTCTGTCCAGTTCATTCATTTCAGAGAGCACTGCAATACATGGAGTAGACTGAAAGAACACACAGCAGCAGAAAAAACACGATTAAAACTGAACATTTTCTCACCAGCATAACATTTATTGAGCCCAACACATAACCCAAACAGAAGCTCTGAATTCCTAGGAGAAACACTTTCACAGTGGGAGGCAAATCAGAGATCGTTTTTCTCAAGGAAGTTGACAGTCTGGGGTTCATCCTGTGTGAGAAGCGTTTTGACAGAGGTTGTGTTTACCTCACCAGAGCTCCTTCCTGCCTCTCCCTCCAGCACCAGGGTGACCTGATCCACCTCCACAGCTACAGGAACTGGGGGATCATCTAGGATATGGTCATAGTCATCTTCCTTCAGCTTGCCTGAGAAAGGACAGTTAGGGGGGGATGTGCTGTAGCATAAACCCACCAAGCTCAGTTTTTTTGGAGGTTTATTCACCATTCTGGGCTGCCATAAACCTCCATGAGACAAATTCTAAGTAGATGTAGTCAGAAAAAAGCACAGTACTGTAAATGTATAGCAGACAAACAGAGGGTCTTTGAGCTAGCACACACCAAAACGTCTGTTATACATGTGGATGTTTGGAGGTGCCCAAACACTGAATGATTCCATCAAGGGCTATGTCTAGCAATTTATTTTCATTTGCAAACTGTCTTTACAAGAAATCAAAACTGGAAAATTTGCCACAAGTTTCCCAGAGCCCAATGTGACAGCTTCAATTATTTATGCCCCCAAATCAACATGTTATTAAATGACCCAGAGAATGTGTTTAAGGGTTTTTGCTTGAAAATGACTATCGAGTATCAAAATACTTTCTTCTTGATTTTACATAAAATAAACTAATTTTATCAGTTTTTTTTAACCAGAAGCTACAACACAGGAAACCTGTTCCATAACCAAAAACCTGGATTCAGTGACATCAATTCAAATATTTGTTTATGAGCAGCAGCTAAAGTGTTTGGTCAGTCTGACCTTTGACTGGCTCGTGAACCTTCTGGCACTTTGTAAGCGACTCCTCCAGCTCTTTTATCCTTCTCTCCTGCAAATAAATGCATGTTGTTACAGCGACAGCAGTTTTAAGTGAATCAAAGGGGCAGTCACATCACACTGTACCTTCTCATCATTAGAGGACATCAGTGTCTCCAACACCCTCTTCATTTTCAACATTTCTGTCTCTGTGGAAAGAAACAAGATGCTTTATACATATGGCAGTTTAGCCTCGACTCCCCTTGGCTCTTGACAGCCACCAGCAAAGATGAGAACTAATGAAGCCACGAGGGCTTAGTGCTGGTCAGCAGGGCTCTATTTTCAACTTGTTGCTGCAGCAAACTCTTGCGTGTGTGTTTTATGGGGAGCATGACAATAAACATGTGCCAACCTAATCAAACAAAGTTCATCCCGCCCCACGTGGACTCTTGGAGCTCGTCATTGTTTTGTGATACTGTGGGAGTATGGTTGTGGATTGATAGCATGTTAAAATTCAGAATCCAGTACTGAATCTTCTTATAAAGTATTAAACTTTTTCAAATCTATTACGCTTCAGATTTCAGCTACTTTAAAGCTGCCCTAATCTATATTTTTTTGACAACAGCTGAAATGTGAAGGAACAAACCCAGAGAGGGCTATCACCCGACTGTGTAGTTCTCCACGGTTTTCTCAAGTGTTTTAGTGTCTTTTAGCTTTTTGCTTTGGTTTAATTGCCACAACTTTACTTTTTCCATTCAGTTTCAGCAAAAAGCTCTAAAAACCCACTGTATGCTACCTGCAGCACCAACCACCAGAAGGCAGTTATCAACTAGCTGATGAACACAGTTGAGTAAATAAGCGCTAAGAGTGAACACTGGACTGAGACACGAGATTCATTTGACTGTGACCTTAACAAATGAGGATATTTTATCTTGGAACCAGCTTCAAAACCCATCTAACAGGGTGGGTGCTTGGTTGAGTAAACTGCCGTTGAACTTTACCACCTGCCTGAGTACAGGCCCAGTGCCAAAAGCCAAACTTCCTGTTCTGTAGGTGACCCCAACCTCCCCAGAGACCAGCCAGCAAACAGGGGAAATTCTCCAAATAAACTGTCACAAAAAACCCACTGACAACTTCAATGAGTCCAAGTAACTTCAAAATAATAATTTTTGGTTGCAGACAGACTCTCTCCTAAAGAGGAACACGTTGGTTACTTTTACAGGTTTGCCTGTGTAGTGAACTGGATGACAAAACAAAAACCTACAGCACTTCAGGCTAAACTGTTTACAAGCAGACCAGTATACAAGACTCTCTTTTAAGTACATACATGGCATTCCTCTACCAGAGTGGGTAAGATAAGGTCAGCAGTGGGTGGAAGGAGTAACACTCAGATATGTTTGGTATGAAGCTTGCAGACACACAGATAAGGAGTTAAGTAAAACATTATAGTTTAGACTGTCTGCGAAATGTAAGATAGTGGAAAAATAATTAATGTGGAAGTCCAGATGGAGCCAGATTATTTCTTCAGGAAAGCAGCTGGTGGACATCTGGTGCTGCTGGAAGGTGAAATGTCCATTTGTCTAATCCTCAAAACTCTGTAATGTTACAGTTGGGCTGTGTACAATGGTACAAGAAGCTCCCAGACATTTATTAAAATCAGCCCCACCTCTCTCCCCTCCTTCCACTATGTCGTGGCTCTCCGCCCTCAGTCTCTCATCCTTCATCCTTCTCAGCTCTCCCTCTCGCTCTTCCAGCTGCCTCTGCAGAAGCTGCAGGTCCTCCTGAAACAGAAGAATCTGGTTGATTGTTTCCTGTTTGAAGAACCGTTTCATGTACAAGACTCTAGTGACCACACACCTACTGCTCAGCACTCAAGGCACATACAGTACTAACCGTCTGGAAAAGAGGGAAGGACACAAACAGTACCAGTACAATACATGAGTAGAAACGTAAGGCAATTAATGATCATCTTCCTTCCACACTCAGTCAATTATTCTTTTATTTTGATTAATCAATTAAAAACCAAAAGGCACATTGTTTACTGTAAATAAACAGAATAAGTAAATCCTCATATCTGAGAAGCTAGAAACAGGACATTTGCCATATTTGTTTGATGACAAATTATTAATCAGATACTGAAACTGCGAATTCTATTGACTTACAAACTGATTAATCGACTGATCATCCCAGCACTATACCGTTATTTCTGAGCGATTATGCAAGGGGCATTCCAGTGATCTATTAGTGGACTTCCATAAAGTTGGAGGACACCCATGAGACAAGATAAAAAAAAATAAAATCAAAAACTGAAGCAGCGGAGTCAAGAGATATCCTGACTTTTAGTCCCTAGTATGGGTCAAAGTCCAAAAACACTGGGTCCTACAGTTCTGATAATATAACTAGACAGCACCGCACGAGACCCCTGCCACCTAAACTTCACACCTCTGCGTGTTATTTAACAGGCTTTCTGTTAAATATTTTACTTATAAAACATTTTTTAGTATCAATGTTGGTCCATGAATCTGTCCATTACTTTGGATCAGACTGAAACACCTGAACAACTTGTGGAGGGACTCCCATGATATCTGGCACCACCACGAGGTTTAAATTTATGGCTTTGAGTGAAATGTCTCGACAGGTAATGTCTGAAGAGTCATCTTGAATACAATCATGGCCGCTTCAGGATCTACTTTAATTACATGAATGATTCTTTAAAATTTCCTTTTTAACCAGGTCGAATTTTTGTTCAGTGCTGCAGCTTTGGTCCAAACACTGACATTCTCTTGAGCTGTGCTAAACTAAAATGGTGAACATGGTTACACCTGCTAAACATCAGGATTCTAACAATGTTATTTCAATCAGTTAATATACCGATACTGCCATTTAGCTTTAAGCAGCACTGTGACCTCACGGTGCTGCTCTAATGCTGTGTTTCCACTATTGGCACCTAACATCCAGTACACCCTGTACTTCCCTTAACCATCACCTCCGGGGTTGACGTTGACTGTCCTGCTTTGTTTTTCCACTGTATCTTCTCTTTGTCATCTGTGTTTAGAGGAGGGAGGGGCTGCTCCTCACACACACAATCACCAGCAACTGCTCTGCGCACACACACCCCTTCCCTCCTGTGGTCCTGGTACTTGATTTTAGTACTACTCCTTTAGTACTACTACTTTAGTACTGAGAGGTGCTGAAATTTAGCTCCCCAAAAGCAGGTGCACTGTAGCGGAAACAAACACTGAACGTATGACGCGACATGTTTTGGTAGGTTCCTATAAAGAAAAAAAACCCCTTTAGTCTTGTTTCAAACCATAGCCAGAAAGGGCACAGGGTGAGATTCAGTGCAAATTCACACCAGTCACTAAACCATGGACACACTGACAAACTGGACACACATAAAATTGACAAACCATCTCATCAAAAGCTGCTTATAGAAGCTGGTGCTCAAAGAACTACTTAATTGAAATCAAGATGTGCTGATATAACTAGGTAAATATCAAAAAGAAAACAACAGTATGTACCACTGTGTACGTCTGACTGACCTGTCGTTTTGGTCTAAATGTGTTAATACAAGAAAATGAACAGAAGGTTTGAACCTGTGTGGTGAAAGTCAGGAAAGCAGCGTGCAGTAGTGGAGAAGGAGCAGGATTAGAAGATCTTTAAGGGCCAGAAAGGAGAAGAGTACAGGCTGGAGATTAAACCCCGGTCACCTCAGCTCCAGTGAACTGCTCAGTGTTCCACTTTGGATGTTTGACAGGCCGGTGAGCATGTTGCAAAACAATGTTAAAATCACATGAGAGGGAGGAGAACGAGCAGAAAATGGGGGGGAAGGGAGAGAGGGAGGAATGAGCAGAGGAAAATCGGTTTTAACATGATGCATCCCATAGGACAAGAATGAATTCAGATCTCCTGTCATACTCAAATGTACTGATCCGCAGTCAAATATACACACTCACTTTAGTAACTTGGAGCTTCTTCTCACACTGCAGTCTTTCATTCTCCATGTCGGTCACTCTGTACCGCAGGTCCGTTAGTTCCTGGTACAAGCCCTGAGGAGGAGAAGACAACTCCTGTTACCCATTAAAATGAGAGAGAACCTGCACTCAGGAGGTTTGTGGGGACTCTGTTTTGGTACGGGGGTAAATGCCTGCCAAAAGAACCAAATGTTATTTCACATTGGTGACCATCTGGAGAGAACTTGAGAAGCTGAGTCCACACATGCCCAAAAGCAAGCGTCAAGGCCAATTACTGTGAAACTGTTTTTATCCCAATCAGCAGCAGAAGAGGAGTCCTGCAGCTTCGAGTTAGTAGCAACAGTTTCTGTTCACACTGTAACCGCGAACTGCAAAATACATTAAACTGATTACTTTGGATAATGGAAAAAAGGTCTTGGTGCAATGACTACAAGGTAAAATGTTAGAAGTTGTAGATCTAATGACAACAAACATATCTAAGGCTAACGTGTTCCAGTAGTGGTATACTGGTAATAAGCTAAAGATCATATCAGCCATGATTATGTATCAATCCTCTGAGGAGGACTTCCATTTTTATGAATTCCAACTAGAAACTGTATATGCACATTTATCCTCAACACAACCTGTTATCACTGGACAGAGGCGCTGATGCCAGCAGTCTGTGTAGGACGTCTGTGCCTTCTGAATTCATTAAATTATGACAGTGAGAAGAAGGGGTGAGAATCTGACCAAAAAAAAAAATGCATCAATAAGATGCTAAAGGTTAAACAAATACAGCAGTCAGGACATTTCTTAGACCTGACCAACATGAAATATTGTATAATGAAGGACAAATGGAAACTAAATCCATACTGTTGCAGAAACACTCTCTTTACTGCCTTAAAGCTTTTACTGTCTAGAAAGACCCCATAACATGCCCCAGCTGGTGAACAGTGAGCATGGAAACTATAGCAGCCGCGGCCTTTTAGCCACTCACAGAGAGGATATGAACAGAGGAATGGAGGGGGGGTGTTCTAGCAGGAAACAGATGGTGGAGCACAAGGGTGTTTGAGCCTCTTGTATGGCCCTTAAAGATGTTCACTGCATGTCACATGACAGATCTGAGCCATCCAGTCAAGTGAGACAGTCCTTTGTGACTGCCAAACAATGACTGGATGGCTGCCAGGAACCAGAGTCACACGTCAAAGTAGAATAAGGTGCAGGTGCAACTGAGTGAGAGCTTCGTTATCTCTCCTCCATTTAATAGGCTGAGATGGTGAACATTTTACCTCACTGTCCTGGTGATCTCTTTCCACAGCCGTCAGCTTCAGCTTCAGACTGGACACCTCGGTCATTAGCTCGAGCTTCTGGGTCTCCAATGCCGTCCTGTTCACTAGCTCCTGCAGAACACACACACACACACACACACACACACACACACACACACACACACACACACAAAGAAAGTAAATAGTCTTCTACATGCATAATGCTTTTCTATGGATTGCAGCACACTCAAAGCACTTTCACACTATTTGGCCATTCACGCTCCCAAGAACTCACACATTCATACAGAAAGATCTCAGTTTAGAAACAGTGCATTCATTTCATTCCCTTAGATCTGACATTTTACAGCTGTGGAGCCTAAGCATGTTTTTTTAGAGGCCTTACCTGCTGAAGCAGCTCCTCAGTCGAATTTAGTTTCTGCCGATGCTGCTCAAGACAAGTGTCTAGGTCCCGAATCTTTTCACCTTGCACTTCCACCTGGTCTGTCAGAACACTTACCTGGACAGTAATAACACATCTTTGTCAACAATTCTTTTAAAACGCTATAGAAAACTGACAAAAAGCCATAATCCACCCGAATCCACATCGACACCTCAGATCACAAGAGCAGTGGATAAATGGACAGTACTGTTGATTAGCTGATGGTAACTGTGATTTTTTAAAGGTGCTGAACCAATCTCTCAACCGGTTTCCTGCTATACAGAATCTCCTGTTGAAGCAGTAGTACTTCTTTCACAGGGGAAATTTCTGTATTTCTGTTTTGTCGGTGCTCTTAGGACTCAGTTGGGAAAAGGTGACATCATGTACTTCAGTGCACCAATCAGGACTTGGCAAATTTTGAAACTATACCATGGATCTTGCCATGGATGCAAGAATTGTTGAACCAATTACTTGAGACAAGATATAGTTAATTTAAAAAATGAAATAACTTATGCCTGCTCCTCAGAATGTTTAAAGTAACAACTTTGGTCAACATCACACTAAATTTAATCTGCAAGAAACTATTATGACAGAAATAGTCACTGATCATCTATGCGCCACAGTTTCAAGTTAAAATTTTAAAGTCTTTGTAAATAGACACATGGTGACGCTATGGCTCAACATCTCCACTGAACACTAATTACTTGTTTCGTTCCATTCATTTTCTTCAAAATCTGTTAAGTAGGTTTAATTACTCTGGTAACAATCAGACAGACAATCAGGACGGAAAACAATCTCTTTGCTAGCACTTGTTACACAAGAGGCGCCCAGCACAGTGCTGCTTAATTGCCCATTTAGGTGCCTTTGTCTTGCTGTCCCTTAGCTGTGATGCTCACACACCTGAAGAATGAGGCACTCTTTGTCACTCTCCAGACGTGACAGACGTTCTTGGTAGACTGCTTCTGAGCCGTGGTCGTTGGTCTGAAATGATAAACAATATGTGTTGATTTGTGTTGTTGAACAAATACCTGCAATCTCTGCACCTGTTACGTAAGACTTTAAACTGTTACTGTTGGAGAGGGATGACCTTTAGCTCTCATACTGAAATATGGGTCTGGCTGAAAAGGCCAAATGAAAATACACATCAGCCTTGAGCCACACAAATTTTCTAAAGGGTGCACACCACTACTATGTAGAACCATATAACCTCCCCGACAATGAACTCTCATTGCTTTCCCTTGAAGAAAAAAGCATGCAAGTTGAGCTTTTCAGAAAAATGTGAGACTCAGTGTTTTCACATGCAAGTTATTTGAAAATTAAATCAAAAGCAAACCCTTTTCTCAAGCTGTCACGCATGGAGAAGTTAAGCCAGGGCAAGAAAAACACGAGCCTCACTCAGAGTTAACACCAGTTTAAAAGGATTGGAAACTATTTACGGCAGTGCTCCTATAGATACGCCATCATTCACAAAGCACATCATAACAGCACTTTTACAGTAAACAGTCATGGCATAAGCAATGAAGCAGGATCAAGAGATGCAAAGCAGAACTCAGGATAATTCATACCAGGCTTCATCTTAAAACTGCACCATGCAAAGACACTGAACGTATCATTCACAGACTCAGACAAAACTGTTAAATAAATTTTAAAAAATTTCTTCTAAAAGACTCATGACATTTTCTCCCTCTGGCCAGTGACAGGAAGAATCAGAGCTCCTGTTTATACTTTCACTTATACTGTCATTTCATGCGTCCTTGAAAGCTGCTGTATATTGAAAGTGTAAATGCATCTAAGAAGCACCAACTAAATTTTGATAACTGTCTGTTATGACAGACAGTTATCAGGACTTGGAGACAGTGGGTGGAGCCACATTCTGTCCAGCTGTTTAAAAGGTGTGAATATTTCTCTTTACTCCTGCCAACTGTAACTATGCCAGTCAGCACAAAGTGCAAGTGGCCTCTACAGGGTCTGCCCTCTGTGATAATTATAAATGAAGTTAGGGATAAATGAATGTCTGGCCCTTCAGACATTCAGACCGACCACATTAGAAATGAATGTGCTTATAGATGTTCCAAACAGCTGAACTGGAAGGCGGAGTGATGAGCTGGTCTTTAAAAGCTGGAATAACTGTTGATATTTCCAGACACAAGGTTTACATCCCATCTTACACTGAAATTACAGGGCAATTATCCATCATTTACCCTGTCTCATGAAAGCAGCAGGATCAAATTTCAACACATCACCACACAGAAGTTATACCAAGCCATTATTCGATTCCTGATCAGTTCAATTACTAAACGATCAGTGTGGGTGAGAGGGATTTGAGAATGAACTCCTGACAAGACCTTTTCATCCATGTGTGAGCTACTTCATGGGTGGAATTGTGTACTCAAGTACACGTGTACACCCCAGCCATACCATCATCATTTAGGCGATGTTCGACTGACCTAAAACGCCTGCTTGGTATCTTGTTATAAGCAGAAGCCTTTCTCGTGATAACAAGATACTTTTCTCCTTTTTATGAAATATGTTCATGGTAAAACATGATTTTTCTTGTTACTAAGACTTATTCTATTTTCTCCTTAAAACAACATAGGCTACTGTACACAGTATGGAGTGACTGCAGCTCTCTCTCTCTCTCTCAACACCTCCCATTCCAACTTTCCACACTAAGTTCAGCAGCCTCTCTCTCTCTCTCTCTCTCTCTCTCTCTCTCACAACACCTCCCATTCCAACTTTCCACACAGTGACCAGCATTGCACCCAGGAGGTGAGCTCCAGCTGGTCCTGGAGAGTCACTGATCAGACACTTAAATCCCTGCAAAATAACACGTGAATGCAGTTGATGAGCAGATAGCCTGCACATGTCCTGATTATGTTCCAGACCTTACTGACAACAGGTGAAGTCAGTGTGGCTGCTGTTACTCACACCAAACTGTACAGGCTCACGTTATGGAGAAGATTCCCTTCCGGGGTGTGTGATATATTAGATCGGGTCATACATTTGAAACTACATAGTAAATGTTGCTCATGCAGTGATTGCCAGACGCAGTGGCCCAATACTTGTCCAAGATAATTTAAAAACAAAAAAAAAATGTGTGCACGTTGTTTACCGGGTTAAGGCTACAGGCACCACTGCTCATATCCAGGTATGTAACTTTCCACCGTCAACCAGAGAGTTCATAGTTCAGCTCTGTGGATCGCACAGGCCGACCTGCCACACCGTCTGGTGTGGGTCACATATAGCTTATAGATTTACATTAACAATCAATCGCGGAAATCCCTGTTTCTCGCTCCGTTGATCTTCAAACCAGAGTCAAGCTTAAGAACCTCATTTTATTATTTACTTTTTAGTTCTACTGTCTCAGTCTGCTTTTAACCTTTTGCCAGGTTTCACCTTCTGTCAGTGCTTCTGACATTTTCTATTTTATAACATCAAACATCACCAACATCAAACTAACCCAGAAGGTTAAATAACAGCTTGAGGGGTGAGGGGACGGTGGGTCAAAACATTTTATAACTTCATTCATAAATTAAAAGATATGTTCGCCTTACTGCCTGAAGGAACATCAAACAGCTACATTATCACACAGCCCTGCAGTGGATCAAAGTGCACGGACTGCGTCAGACCGAGCCCCCTCCGTGCTGTACAAACTGGTCCCTATGTGCAGCCACTGTGAGACGAGAGAGCAGGGACCGTCTCCGCCTTGTAAAAGGCATTGTATGTGTTTTAACGTTTGGCTTATGACTTACTGATCCAAGAACTTGGAATCTTTCCAACTTTACCAAATTCTCTAGAACATCTGCTGTCATTGCCCTCACACCCCTTGGGAGAAGCTGTAATTCGCATCCTGGGTAGTGGGCTACCAAATGGAAAAAGTCTACACGTGCACTCGCTGTCAAAAATCTGCAAGTACTTGTTTATGAAAATTTGTAAATGTTCCCACTCTAAATTAACACCACCCTCTGGGCTGGATTAGGGCTGGCCCTGTTTTGCATGCAGCCTGGGAAAACCAAGTTGTATTGCGGATTACAGAGATACTTAGACATGACTGAAGATTAAATTGGTGACTTAAGAGTAACAAAAGCAAATAGGGCTCCTCCCACAAGTCACAGCACCTGCCCTAACAATAAGGCTATAGAAAGCGCCTTGGCTCACAAACCGATCAATAACAGCGACAGAGTAGTAAAAATGTTAATTTAAGTCATCACACACACACACACAGTATATATGTTGTTTCAAACCTATACAACAAAGACTACGCATGTAAGGATTAATATTACTTAATGACTAAAGAGTGAATGGTCTTTTTACCATTCGTCCCTGCAGCCACTCTGCCAGGCCCTCCGCAGTGGAATCAGGAATCTGACATCGCAGGTTACTCCTCTCCTCGTTGTCCATCAGCTCTAGCGCTGCCCGCAGGTCCTCAAGGAGATGTAGCACCCGAATGCCACCTAGGAAAGGTGAAGAGGGTGACTGGCAGTCAAACAGCCCGTTGGAGTAGTCCATGGCCTTGGAGCCTGGAGAGGTGCAAAGTCAAAAGTTAGATACAAGTTGAAGACTGACAAAATTATCTCATATACAGTAAACGATGAGCACAAGGGTTGCCAAATTACTATAACTTGGATACGCACAACAAAAATCCAGTTTGGTTGATTCTCAGGATTTGATCAAAGCAACATCTGTGGGTGTGGTGGCAGCACTATGACAACCCCAAGTTGTGGGTTTTTGTTTCTGTGTAACTGTAGGTTTACTTGTTTTTTCTGAACTTGCAAGCTGCCTGTTTCCACACTGTGGAAAACTCCTCCATCCTGTGTGGATACCATTAAACAAAAAGAGTAGGGGCCTGCTACATGTGCATGTACATAAAGCTCTGCAGCATCATGATAAGAGCTTCGTGTCAGAGGCACATCATGGTAAGCAGGGCTGCCCCATAACAGTCGAACAGTCCAGTCAAGAGACACGTCAGTCGACTGAGACTCTTCCAGTCGAGTCTGTTTTTATTTTATTATATTTTATTTTTTTGTCAACCAGCGTGCATTACAATAGAAGATAGTCCCAGCCAGTAGTCTGTAATCTTCTTCTCTTCATTTTGGTGTTCCAAGCAGGAATCTGCTCAATACTCCCACCTGTAGTTGGGGGAGGGATACCTACTTCAACGGTGACACTGTCCAATCAATGGATGTACATTAAGGTCGGATCTATTTAAGTTAGCAAATTGGGGAATGAGGAGACAAGTCCACCAGGACAAGTCACATGCAGTAATGGTGAGATTTGTACTTTATTGAAGTGTTTTCAAACATCCTGGTCTACTTGTAGAAGAGAAAAAACTGTTGTATCGATGTGGCTGGTTTTGCATAGGCTAACATTATACGAGTCCAGTTTGTGTGCCCACCTCTGTTAAAGTGCAGCCAGACAGCCGTTCACCGACTGTTGCTGCGAGACACATCAATGTAAACAGGGTTAGGACGCTAACAAAAATATGCAGGAACAACATTTCAAAGGGGAATTATAAATAATCGTTCGCAGTGCAACCTGTCGCACTTCAAACAACATGCGCTGTGGTTAACTGACTTAAACCTCTAGGTAAACTGGGCTATAACCATGTTTCAACAGAAGTGTCCTGTCTGTCTTGTTATTCTGACGAATCCATATGGCAGCTTCACATTTATTTATCATACGTGTGCAGCTGTCTTTGATTTTTAAATGCTCAGAAATATGTTCCCGTCACCCTTTTGCATTTGAATACCAATGCTAATATGGTTTAAATCCATCACTGAAATTCATGCCAGTTGATTTTCTAACAGTCTAGGCTATATTTTATAAATACATGTGTAAGAAAAAGAATGAATAATCAAAGCTGACTGACAGTCATCTGACAAAATCCTTAGTAGGGTACAGCCCTAATGGTGAGCATGTGATCCATGTCTTAACCACAGGGTCTGGCAAGGGACTGCTTTATGTTTCCTGCTGTTGTATTCACTAAAAATCCTCTTCTCATTTCTCAATCACATTTCATAAAGAGAAAAAAACCTGATTAATGATTTACATATGAGAAGAGGGAAAATGGAACGACAGTTCATTTTAGCAAATCCCTTGCTTTGTCTACAGTTCTGAAAAAACCACGTGGCACATTAGGTGCACCAAAACATCAACAGAAAACCACCACGAACGTTGTTGCTGCTCAGTAATTACTGCCGTTTATGTACTTAATTAAAGAACCACTTCTGGAGCCTCCATCAGTTCATCTTACAACATAATGTTCCTAAAAAGCACAGAACGTTTTACTCCGAGCTCTTATTTGAGCAGCAATTTTACTCCTACTCAAGCTCAAACATTTTAGCAATACCTACATAACAGCAATATTTGGGTTCTTGCTGATATTCTCTCGCCCCCTGCATGAACACAAACACACACTTCTCTAAGTCAATATTCACAGGGACTCTATCAAACTCATGACAGTATACGCAAATAACGTTAATTAAAAGCATATTTTTGACCTTCTTGGAAATAAAGGTGGCAGTGTGTTTGTTGACTGAACTCGAGTGCAAGATGTTTCCATCATGTGCTTCGGCCTGCACCGCACCAGTTATTATCTGTTTTAAATGTCAGCCATAATGAAGACGTCCACCGGTAACAAAGGGGGAGCTAAATAAATAAATATCCAAACAGTCATGACTGGAGGATATCATGTGATCAGGCACCTCGCTCCCATTGGAAAGGTCAGTGCTATAATTACACACATCAGTGGAAAAGTAGAGACTCTGGAACTGAAGCCTGTACTGCTCGTCTGCAGCAGCACAAGTATACAGTTTGTGGCCAAGCAGAAGTTTGTATTCCAAACTCACAGAGCTTGAATAATCATTAGTTCCCGTCAGTGTGGGGACAATGGAAAACTTTCCTTCATTTCCCATGGTGGAGGAATGTGGAGGCACAAAGAGCCAGTGATCTAAGCAGTACAGCTTCAGTTTTACTCCAAACCTTCATGTATATTCAGGAGGATTAAATTACCTGCAGGTAGGAGTGGAAGGAGAAGGACACACTGTGTTAGTGTCCACCCTGTAGTACTCTCAGCTTGCAAGTTAATGGTTTCCAGATGTGGCTAGACCCCACAGTATGCCATGCCCACTTAAAAAGTGCTGTGGTCAGGTCTTAAAAGTCCAAGTGTACAATGCACTTACCTGCTATGATCCCGTCCATTTGCTCCAAGGCTGCTGCCAACATCTCACTGGCATCGGCCATCATCATCAGCTCAATTAATCTGAAAGAGAAAAGGGGAGAAAATAATCAAAGGAGCAACGACAAGTCTGCCGGAGATACGGCATTAAAGTTTACCACAGTCTTCCAAAAAGCCAACCACTGAACAGGAAGAAGATTCCCAAAACGTATAGTAGCCAGCTATTGGGGTCTGCAGCAGCAAAGCAGGTTTTTGTTTTTTTCTTGTGATGTTCTTTTTAAATTAAAATTATGTTAACGCTGAATTCAAACTAAAGAGCACCTTCTGAAATCTTAAACAATTACACATTTAAAAGACGACGAGGTAAAAATGATTCAATTAGAAAAACAGACATTTCCATGACATCTTGGGGAAACTATCTGTTAAGACACGGGATCAGCTATTGGAAAGATCTGCTGAGACAGTTTTGATCTGGAAAGCACAAAAGAAGAGATGCTTCCTTCAAGAAGAACTTAATAATACCATGTGTAAACACCTGTGATTAAAATGTGACAATACTTCAACCAGCAAACACCTACAGAAAACTTAAGGCTTTTAATGATCTTTTATTCTCAACAACTAATGCGTATTTTCCTTGTCGGTTAAACTATTACTTGTCTAATGACCAAGTGAATGTTTTGCCTATACGATGACTGAAAATATAGTGGAGAATATCCATCCCAAAAGTTAATGCATTATGTACATCAGTGACTATACATTACTGTCATTTAGCTGACCCACAGTTCAGAAACCAAAGATATTCCATACATCGTATATGAAAAAGTGGGCTGCTAGTTAAACTTCAGAAGGTGGAAACGGACAACTTTGGGCATCTTGGTATAAAAAAAAGACAAATGGGAGATGTGTTTCATACACAAGAAAAAAAAATCTGCAACCATTTTAATTATCAAGCAAACATCTAACCCTTAATTCAAGGCAAAACAAGAATTTTAAGATGTCAATTTGGGATTTATGGATCCTTATACTTTTCCTGTACAAGCCTCAAACTAGAAAGCCTGTCTGTATTTTGAAACAGAACTGTATTATTATCACTGTTACTGTTGTGGAACAAGCCTTTTGTTCTTCCTTTTCAAGTGACGCCTGCATCAAATTAACCTTGCAGCCTGTGACATAAAAACTGGCTGCCCAAGAGGAAAAAAGCAAAGAGACCTCTAGGAATTATTAGCCAGAAGGCCTCATTTCTGGTAGCCAGGCAGTCACGGCTGCTCATGGGCAGTCTATCTGGAATAATGGCACTATATTCCCAGGGGTCTCAGGCCTCATAGTACTGGCATGCTCGGCATCTCAAACTTCCATAGCAAAGCAGGACAGTAACCCCCGTGACAAACACTCATTAAATGTCTCGCTCCTTTAATTGTACTGAGGTCTCATGTCAAACAGAACCTGATTTCAAAAGGGCTGAGAGAGAACAGTTTGTGGAGAGAGCTGTTAAAAGCCCTGACCTAAAAACAGAGGCTCTGCTTGTTCAGATATCCCGTGATTGGCGGAGGGGCTGCAGGCTACACTTCAGGTCTGTTACACCCAGCAGAGTTAAAAAAAAAAAAAAAAAAATGGGGGGGAATTAAGAGAACCATT